AAAAAAAAAAAAAAAAAAAAAAAACTCAAAATAGTTGCATTTCGATAATATATGATTAAAAACAAATGCAATAGAACGTAATAATTATAAAATATCGAGGTATACTAAAAACTTAATTAACAAATTTATAATTAGAGCTATTAGTCAAACTAACTAATTCTATTTGTCATTCACTATTTGCTAGTACAATCAGTTATCAAACATTCGCCATCGACTAACTGTTGTCGTTATATATTATGTTTGTAAGAAACTTGGGGAAAACGGGTGCGGTGGCACCATGAGAGGGAAAAGCCCATATGAAGCTCAAGTGGGGTTCCATCCCAAAACCAATTGATGGAAGGAGGAGTAGCCCGCACGGTCCTAATAGAACCGGCTCTGATACCATGTAAGAAACTTGGGGAAAACGGGTGCGCTGGCACCATGAAAAGGAAAAGCCCATAGGAAGCCCAAGTGGGGTTCCATCCCAAAACTAATTGGTGGAATGAGGAGTAACCCATTAGACTTATAAAGTGGGTCTATTTTCCATGTATGAACGATGTGGGACAACTCACAAGTGATGTTCTAACTTTAGACTTTAAATTTGTGAAAGAATATGTTTATATGAAAAATTGTCGGATACTCTATGAATAAAGGAAAATGCTACGGTCCCATTGCGGAACAATGCCGTCGAGTTTTAAAATCGCTGAATTATCATGAACTGTCGAAGATAGCTGATCTAACGATTACAAACTCCGACAAAATAGTTACGAAACGAGACCCCAACGTCTCTTGAATAAAAATATAAAATCATGGCCATATGGCAAAAGAAAAGAGAGAAGAGAGGGCTTACAAATGAGATTTCAAGAGAAAACTAAAAAAAAAAAAAATCACTTCTCTTAAGATGATATCATTGCAAAGTTTGATGCACTAATTTTGTCTCGGGACCCAGAAAACAAAAAACATGTCATCCTTTCATGGCACTTCCTATAGAACTGCATGCTTCAAGACATATACCTCCGGTGCTACTACCGTGCGCCCTGACACAAGGTGTGCCAGGGCGCTTTAAAATGAACATGTTATGTTATAAAATGAACATGTGTAAATCATATTTTCACATGTTCATTTCGTAACATAACATGTTCATTTTAACACGTCTCTGGCACACCTTACTAAGTATTTGCCATATACTTCTACTAAAATTTAATTCCATATTCAAGCCCTGCAATAATCATGCTTGCTTATTAAAAATGGCCACACAATAGGAAGTGCCACCCTACTATCATGATTCTATAAGCTATGGAGGCTTGAAGATCACAACACTTCAAATTAATAGTCACATCATCTTAAAAGCACTATATAAAAAAAAAAAATGAAATTAATCTCCAAAGCCAACAACAAAAAAACCTTGCATTGTGTACTATATTTAATTTATTTATTTTTTATTTTTTTTTTATGATGAAGAATGCAGTTATTTTTTATAAATATAGCTGAAAGACAATTGACAAATTAATCAACGGTTCATAAGTTAATTTCGAGATAATAGTTACTAATTAACATATGGAGCAAAACTGAAAACTTATATGATATCCTCTCTATATATTATTCTCGAATGTGCTGAGCCTACGTGGCTGTTTCTGGTGCTTCGGAATCCTACTTGCCGAAGAATCATGCAATTATGTTTGGACAAGTAATATTGATATATTAATAATTAATAATCTAGGTTCAGACATTCCATAAATATTTATTTAGCTAATTTAAGTATTTTAATATCACTTGTACTAATATAACCATTTAATTCTTTGTAATTTTACATAGAGACACTAAGTGACTAATATATCTCTGACTTTTGATTTGTTTCCTTCAATTAGCTATTGAATTATAAATATATTTTAAAAGTTGATATTTTTTTGTATTTCTTATCGTTTTATATATATAATATACCAAATTAATCATCTTTTGATGATCTTCGATTTGACATTCATATTGTATATATGAAATAAATAAATTATATTTATCTTTATAATAAAAAATAATGTTTATTAAAATTCATTAGAAAAATAAAATTATTTCTCAATTGATATATTTATGTTTAATGTAGTTATATGTTGTAAGTTAAAAAAATTATTATAATATAACACAGGTAAGTCGCACAAATAAAACGTGTCATACTAAACATATAATAATATATATATTTTTATATAAGGTATTTAAATTTTTAATTACTTTTTGTCATTAGTTTTAGATTTTAAGAAAAAAATTTAGTAAGCACCTGTGTAATACACGAG